AAACTTATTCATACGCATGAGTATGTCTCCGGTAGTCTCTGGACAAAAGGAGTGTTCGATGAGGGATCTGGTTTGAGGAATATTTTTAATCGATGGAAGAGATATAATCAGATTATGGGAGAGTGGGGAGAGGATCAAAAAACACTCGCGTGGCGTTGGTCACAAAAAGTCAACTTTTAATTGTCAATAAAGTCACTAATTCCACTTGAGTAGGTCACAATAAATGAGCTGAACAAAAACGGTATATAATTCGAAGAATTATGAACGTAATTCCGAGAACGACTAATAATGAGCGGATCAATTAATGTAGACAGCGAAGTTCTGCGAAAAACACGTCAATCCTCTCGAACGACGATATGCAAAAGAGAGAGAGTGATAAGCCCCAAGATGGGAGGTGTCGATCATCGCGATGGTCAATTACACCTGTCTATCAAGTGGCCCCTCAGGTGTCAGAGGTAAAAGGCCACTGGTCATCTGAGGTTAGCGAGCCAGTTAATCAGCTGAGTGGGTCAGGAGTGTGTGCGTGTATGTGAAAAAAATTCGGTAGAAAACCGAACAAAGAGGAAAAGAGAGAAAGACACACATTATGATATTCGTTGCCAACTTTGACGAACAAATCTAACGCTGAGAGAAAATAAAATTGAGGAAATATGACATTATGATGGTTTTTATGGGAGGATATTTTTATTTAATGATTCAATCGAAAAGGTCAACATATCTTCATAAAGCTCACAGTCAACTTATATAATGTAACTAAGGCTCGATTTCGCGAAAAATTCTCATATTACGAGAAAAAAAATTAAACACGTTTTTCGAGTAGTTGTGTCGTGTATATTATACGCGACAGCATCGGCATGTGACGTCATACCGGTAAAATCTCCACTTGGCCGAGACGCAGTCGCGTATCTTGATTTTATATATAATCATAAAAATAATAATTAATTTTATATATAATAATAATAATTAATTATATATATTGTGTCGTATTTTCGCTCTCCGCGGAAGAAGAGAGAAATATACGCAGCCCTCGACGACCAACCTCGAACGACAAAATGTTAGGCGCCAGGACGTTTTTATAAAAAACGGCCAAAAATCGAAATTACCAATTAACAAAAAGGACAGTTGCCAACTAGCCAGTGTAACAGCCGCGGAAGCGGCTAGGTTCCGAATACTGCCGTACGATTCTGAAATGGCTGGGTTATTTTATCTCAAAATTAATTCAATGTTTGCGGGGTAACAAATTCTTGATTTATTAATATCATAAGTTATCGGAACAAAATAAATTATCTCAAAAACCCCGTCTTACTCTCAACTATGGGATCACGCTGTGCTCGGTCACAAAGAAAATAAATAAATTAACCAAGACACAAACAAATAATTTACAAACAAATTCCTAACCATGAGTCAATAAGTAAAATTACTAGTCGAAAATAACAATTCAGAATAAGTCAAAAATGCTAAGGTCAAGATTCTAAGAAGTCGATAAAACAGCTAGTAATTGTTAAGTCAGAATTTTCATACAGTGACGGAATCTACATTTACCACGAGGAACGAGCGTGTCCACTCATACAATAAAACGAAGAGAGTTAAGCAATTGAGAGGGGAATTGCCTCGAGAGAACGAGTAAACAAACGCTGAAAGTAACCGAAAGTGTCACCGGCAAAACACAAATCTCGAACGTCGACAGACGTTGTAATTCCACTTCCAATGCTACAAAGATAAATTTTATTAAATAAAATTCAATCAAAAGTATTTGTGGCTTCACAGGCCACGATAATATCAATTAAAACCTCGAGGATAATAACACTGACCTCGAGATTATAATACTTCACCAGACAAAAGAAAATCGATAATAGAGGCAAAAATAACTTCCAAAATATAATTTAAGAGAGAGGCAAGAGTCGTTACAATGAAATTTAGTTTAAAACCACGGAAATTTAAAGTAGAGAAAAGCTCGGAAATAATCACGAGTCGACAAAATAAGTTAACCAAATCTGTTAAATCTCAACCGAGCGAGACTACACAAGCCAGAGATTTGAACACTCCAAAATGGCGTCAAAGCCATGGACAATGAGTCCGATAATAAGTAGGAACAGAATGATTTTAAAAGCTACTAATTACAATAAACACTATTTAGTAAATCCACCGCTCACCGAACGTAAAACACAAGTCCCAGGAATGATGATAAATCTCCTCAAGCTTGTCTAATTCCTCCGTGGTCTCTTGCCTCAAATAAAAATTTCAGAACAAACAAATTTGTACAGCTACCAAAATTTTGCTGTCACGGGTCCGGCGTCCAAACGAGAAGTGTCGTTAAATCGCAGAACGACAATGCTCAACAGGTGACGAGACCTGCCAAAGCCATGATTGGCTCGTCACCGACAAACGAGTTTTCGGATTGGCTGTTAATCAACACAGCCAATCAACTTAATAATATAATTTTGATAGGAATTCAACTGAAACATAATTGCCATAAGTAATATTGGGGACTCCTAAACCATCAACAAACCCAAAATTATTTCTCTTACACTCGGTCCAATTCTTCTAGTTTATAGAGCTAAAAAATTCCGTCGTTAAAATTCCGCCTAATTACTGATTTGGAGCGAAACAAATTCTAGCTCCGGACGCTGGCGCCACCACTCAGTTTCTCCAGGAAATTCCCCAAATCTGGCGGAAACTCCAAACTCTTTCCCGAACCTCCTGGCGTTCTCCAACAAATAAGAGTCATGTGACAGGATCCAAAATCCCACGATGAGTCCGAGATGAGCGGTGAAACATGGCCCGATATAATAAAAAAATTAATAAAAGCAAAAACAGTTTAAAATTAATTTTTATAAAAGACAGACTCTTGCCTCGCCAATGGTTACTTCTCGTCTGGACATTCCAAAAACCGACGAACGGTTGAAATAAAAAATACCACGTTACAATATATATTGTGAAGTATTTTGTCCTCCGCGGAAGAAGGAACGAGAATACGCAGCGACTATGCCGAACAGGTGACAAAATCGAACAATGCTGTGATTGTTCGGTCACCGTCGCGAGAGTATCTGATTGGTCAATATTAATATCGCCAATGATAACAAAGGATTCTTTAAAAAAAAATTCCATATTTGAGTCCAACATTCTAAGAAAATTAATAGTTGGACCCCGTTAATTGTCAATAAGAAACATTTTCAAGAGTCCCGCGAAATGACAAATTATATAACATAGAATTTAACGCTAATCTAGATTTGCCGTGTAAGTCCAATTATGAGTCGCTCGATTGCGGACACGGACGTATGCATCATATTCTTATAGATATATTTATATATATCCATCAAATTCTTTTGCAAAAAAATCTAGAAATAAACAAATCTGTATTTGCGAATAAATCTCGAGGGACTGGGGCTGGAGACCGTTAGATACGCAGACGAGGTGGCTTTGCTTGTAAGTAGCAGGAACGGGGGCATACTACACCGGACGATGCAGAAGGCGCTGGACTATGTTTGGCGGTGGTGCACCTTTCACGGTCTCAGAGTTAGTCCAAGCAAGACGGAGACGGTGCTCTTCACCAATAGGAGGAGGTGTGTCATAAGACCCCTCTCTATTTATGGCACAGTACTGAGCATTTCCAAGGAGGTAAAATGCTTGGGTGTTTGGCTAGAGAGAAAGCTCAGCTGGAAAAAGCACATCACCTTGCAGACTAATAAGGTCGTCACCATTTATTGGGCATGCAGCAGATTGCTTGGAAACACGTGGGAACTACGGTCAAGGGTTGTAAAATGGATTTACACAACCATAATGGTCCCACAGCTGACTTACGCTGCTGTTGTCCGTTCGACGGCTATGAACAAAGCCTGTCACAGGAGAACGGTAGACAGGTCGGGCAGACTTGCTATGTTGGACATTACGGGGCACTTAGAACGACCCCCACCTCAGCACTGGAGGCCCTGCTCCTTCTTCAGTCGCCACACCTCAATATTAAGGAGGTGGCACTAATCTCGGCATGATCCGGAAACGAGTGGCGAGGGGGGTTGTGGAGAAGTGGCGCTTCGAGGAGGGCGCCAAACATACAAGGATCCTCCTGCGTGAACGTACGAAAAAGCTAGCTGAGATGTTGGTGGGGCAGAACAGGATAAAGCTCCGGTCTCTGGTGAGGCTTATCACTGGTCATTGGCCCCTACCCTCATACTTAATAAAGATAGACAGAGGAAGTGATCCTGCCTGACCGAAATGTGGACTCACAGAGGAGAATCCGCACCACCTAGGCACTAGATGAAGTGGTCTTGATCCGGTCCGATGGAATGTCTTCGGAACCACTTGCATCAAGGAATTGTATGTCGATAGGGATGGTATAGTACGGTATATTGCTCGCAGGGCAAACTTACTGACACCTATGGACTAGGCGGCTGGCACGTGCAGAGTACAACATGGGTGAGAGGTTCATTGCACTTTCTCGATCTCTTGAAGGGAACTCTTAGAACTACTAAAAGACTAAAGACTAATGAATTAATTATACGATAATATAATATAATATCGAATTTTTAATATATCCTATTAATATTATTACTACATCAAAAGAATATATATTTTTTGATTAGCCGAGGCTAGCTATGGGCCAGGAAAAGTTGACAGAAATCGTTACATGCTTTTTTTTAAAAAGAGAAGACGGATGAGAACCTGCAGAAAAAGTGTATTAGTCAGTTGCGTAGCGTGCGGTATATCTGAGTTCGTATCTACGCAGGAACGGAAAATGATGTTCTGACCTCGAAATCTAAAATAACGTATCTCTATCCACGTGCTCATCAATTTCGCTGCAGCCTCGACTAATAACGCGTCATATTGACAGGCATCCTTTATTTTCTTTCTGTAGGTTAGGTACATAATATTATTCCATTGAAATACAATTCAACTAATTAGTCCGGATTCCAGCCAAGAAAATTTTACATAAAACCCTGTAATTTTCCTGATTTTGTGAATCGCAGATATTCGAGAATATTAATTAGAAAAATTATTTTCAGGGGTATTCATACAACAGGAACATCAATCGTAGGCGGCGGTGTAAAGGCGCCTCGCATCAAGACAAAAAACTTGATCTCAGTCATTTTCTGTGAAGCTGTTGCTATCTATGGGCTTATCACCGCGATTGTACTCTCCCAGGGACTTGAAGACTTTTCGTGGCAGAAAGCAATGGATGATCCGGACATAAGAAGTCATAACTGGCTCTCTGGTTATCTAATGTTTGGAGCTGGTTTAGCAGTTGGCCTCGTTAATCTGTTCTGTGGTATAGCTGTAGGAATTGTTGGTTCCGGAGCTGCACTGTCTGATGCCGCTAATTCAGCTTTATTCGTTAAAATTCTCATCGTAGAAATTTTTGGCTCTGCGATCGGGCTTTTCGGTCTAATTGTGGGCATCTATATGGTAAGTCTAAATATTATGGTTCCTTGCGTCAATGTTACAAACTTGCGGAAATGGGCTAAATGTATTCGATATCACTTATTTTACCTTTAATTATTGAATTTCTTTTCTGTTAAAGCGATTTCACAGCGCTTAATGTTTTTCAAGTTTTACTTACAGTTTTAGAATGAGATGGTTTTAAAATTTTTTGTCGGAATCAGTGTTAAACCAAAATGGAGTTTATTATTATAATTTTGTAAACTATGTTTATTTTAATTAGATATATCAATTCACTAGGTAATGATTTGATAGCACCACTCCATTTTGGTTTTACGAAGCTTCGACCATTTTTTCAATGCGAAAAAAACTAGAAATTTCCTGTCAAGTCAACAGTTGACATACGTTTAACCAATTGTGACAGATTAGGATATGGCTCTTTTCTTTTTTGTGTACACAGAAAACACACTTCAATCAAGTATATTTTATTCTTACACTAAGTTGTAAGGGGTATTACACCCAGGAACATTAACCCACGACCAATGTGAATTCAGTTTCACAGAGAACTCACTTTTCTCCTATTAATTGTACTTTCATTCTCATTCAATATTTCTCTAATATCGCAAAGATTCTTGAGTAATTCATGAGTTTTCGAATTTATTCCGGAAACTTCTTAAATATTCTGAATTCTCTGAAAAACTCTTAAATCCTGTTAGATTTTGAAGAACAAAACCATCGACTCTCTGTTTTTTTGTCGGAGCCTGTAAACGTTCTTTCAATGCCTGTAACTTATTTCCTATTGATATGGCATATCTTCTTTCACAATCAACAACACAATTGTATTTAAAATCTCGTCGTTCTCATTTGTATTGTGAACCTAAAATTTACGTCATGTTATGTTATCGTTCAAATAATGTAACATAAAAATCAATTTCATAAAGATATACGATATTCTCAATTAGTGAGTCACAGTTCTTTATGCATAAACGAATTGGAGAATTTTTATCTATAATACAGTTATTTTCAGTCCTAGTCGTGGAAAACAGATCATCCGTCGCCACTTGCAAGAAGTCGAAGGCGAGGATGGTAAGCTTTCGAGGAAGGGTGATATGTTCTCCAGGGCGTAGCTTTAACAATATGTTACCATATGCAGGATTTGAGAGAATTGTGTTTTTCAGGGGCCAGTTCGGAAAAAATAGTTTTTCAAATGGAAATATTTGACCAGCATTTTCATTATGTAGAATTTCCATTTCTTCGTCTTCTTTAGACCCACTAGTGTCTCGGCTAGCTTTTTATTAGGTTGGCGTAAGACTGTTCTTGTATGTTGGTGCCAGGTCAAACTGACCTTGCCAATCGTTAGCAAATCGTTTGTGGGTAAAAAATAATTCTTGAAATATGATCGAGACCTAATTGCTCTTTAAATACTAATTAATTAATGAGATTAACGACAATGTGCCCATCTGCGTATGCATGGACTCCCACGGATTGATGTTGCTGTCTTTTCTTCAGTATCAACATTCGTTAAGAAAATTCACAAAGTCAATTTGGGTCTACAAATGAAAATCAGGAAAGTGGGATGGTAACTTTTGCGTATTATTTTAATTAATTAGTAAAAAATCAAACAAGGGCTTACAAATATTTTCATCACCATCACAATGTTATACAATGGTGCTACTCACAATTCCTCCCTGATGACCGCAAACACCATACTGTGTGTGAGTACGAGTGTCTGCGCATGCGCCGATGTAAACACTATAGACCTTTTTTTAAATTAATTAAAATCTAATGAATAATTACCTGTGAAAGAATGGAACTAAGGTATTTATTATCTACAAACGATTTGCTTTCCATTGGTTAATATCATTCGGTGCTAACTTCCGATCATTATTTTGTTTAATTAATTAAAAAATAATGAAGGGTCTACAAAATTTTTTAATCGTATTACAATGATGTACAAACGTCCTACTATTGATCGAAATAAAAAAACTAATGAATTTTCAGTTATGTGGTGCCAACTACCTGGCACTTTGTATGTTTGGCACCCTCTCCAGACCGCCATCTATCGGTAATCCTTTCTTCCGTTCGTCTTCAGATCATGTCGTTGATAAAGTCTATGGGCACGCCAACGTGGATCCTCCCCGGCTGATGTGGTACTCACACATCTCCGTTTAGCTAACTCGCCGGCTTTTGCATTTTCGACGATACCAGCGTTATCTGGAATCCATACCACTTCCAGCTGATTGTAATCAGCGATCCTTCTTATCAGTTCGGTGCAGTCTTTCACTAATCACGAGCAGCCCTCATATCTGAGCAATGTCATCAGCGCATCTTTGCTACCCGAACAGATATAGATTTTCTTGCCCCTATCCTGTCTATCCAGGGTTAGTCTTGCGCAGGTTCTTAAGGCTACTTAAGGTTCTTAGTACCTCCATCTTTGAGACGGTTGCGTGGGACTCCAGTCCAATGGCTTTCCTAGTTCAGAGTCACTCGGATTAGACACCCGCGCATGTCGCTAGCCCTTTGGGTGGTGACCATTTTACTTATTTCTCTGGCAGAGTTTCCCCATAGCCAAGGTCAACTTTAAATGTATTGTGGAAGTGCCATTGTCCACTCAGCGAAGATACCTGCTCTAATTCTATTTCTCCCTTGTTGAACCCTGATTCGATCGATAACGGCAAACCGCACTTGTGCGATCGGGAATTTTCAACTTTTGATGAATTTTAAATATGAGGATCAATTTTTTCTTCTAAATAGGCAGCAATATTAAAAAAAGCATTCTTTTAGTGCTTTCATGATAAAGGCTGATCCTCAACAACTATTTTCTGTTTGGACGATATTTGTCGCAATTCAATGAGTAAAATAGAATAATTTTCCAACATTCTGAGGTGGAGCAATAAATTTATGGAATAATGAATCGAACTCCTAGTCGAAGTTTGATAAATCAATTCTTTTTCATAGGCTATCGATTGTACTCAATTAGTACCTGATTTTACCACATTTTCATTCGACATTGCCTCTCACCGGTAACGGAAGGGATGCGGTAAAAGTCGTGCAGCATCGGAAATGAAGGTACGGAAAAAAAATTGTGGCCCAGGAGTCAACATGGATAATACCGATTTATACTGTATTTTTTTATTTCGGTAAATCGTTCGTATTTGTTTGTCCCGCCAATAATTATTTGCTAGAAAAATAAGTATTATTACTCTTTCTAAAAAACCATAAATTTATTTTCAATATATCATTACATGTCCATCAACACTAAAATCATTGTAATGAATTCCATACGAAGTTCGTGGAGCCTTGATGTAGGCATGAAATTTTAATCTTTCTTAATGCTGTACAAGCGAGTCCGATCAATTACTACCGGTGAAGACTTTTGAGGATAGCAATGAACTATTTGCCACAATTCGTATAAACGATGCAATAAATTTTTCTCCGGTTTAGTAATTTCAGCAATGAGACTGCACTGGTGGGGAACTGCCTTCCCCACCGCAAATCAAGTTGCGAACAAGGATGCAACGGATCTGTTAAGACTGGCAACAAAGGCCGGGCTGGATATATAATCGGTGCATAAAACAAGGGGAGCTGCAATTACTCTAATCTGAGTTCGGTGGCATTGGGGAGGCTAGCCCGACCATCCGCGTATTTAAATCTAATCTAATCTAGTAATTTCCAGATGTTGGTACAAACGCAACGAGTTGCGGTACATATAAACGGGACGGAGTACAAACGACTCGGGCTTTGAAAATCACTGGTAAATTGAATAGAAAAGCAGTACAAATGATGCAACGGAAAGATACAATTTTTTTAGGGCTGAGTAATGTATAGGTCTTGGTACAAACGCTTGAACACCTCTACTTCTATTTCTATTTCGCGGTCATATTCGGAAGATATTCTTGACAATTCCATTGCAGATTTTCATATTGCATTTTGCAAATAAACGTTGAACACGAAAAATGAATTTTAGAAATTCTGGAATCAAGAAATAAATGTTGTCATTATTTCTCTGGTGAGTCATACCTTCTGACTTGTGATTTCGATGAAATGATACAACGTGGGACTAGAGAATTGTCGCAAAAAATTACAAATTTGATTATGTCTAAAAATAAATAGACTTTTTAATTAAATGTCTACTCTTGGCCAAAATTATGGAATGTTGCTCAATGGAAACCGCGGGAAGGTGGTAGACGTCTTCCATGATGGGTGATGGGAAGGGAAAAAAGGTGAAGGAAGTAGGAGAAAATTTAAGTCTAAACAATAATTATTACTAATATATTTACAATAGTTTCATATCAGCAATCGTATGAATACCAGATTCGTAAAGAACCTCCCATTAATGCGATGCTGTTATGAATTGTCAAATGAATAAATATTAATATATTCAATAAAAGTTTAAATATCTACCGACAAGGTCACAATGAAAATTGTCTAGTCATAAAACTCTAATGCGATCGTTGAACTTGGGACTCTACAATTTTTTTTGAAATGAGGTTTGTAACCACTGAGACCCATAAGCATAGCTTCTCTGAGATTCACATCACCTAAGGCCGACCTACCTGAAGTTTTAATCCGATTCATATGTGAAAAATCCGATTCGCAAAGATAAGTTGTTCCGAAAACAACACGCGTTCGTTTGTACGCTTCCGCGAGATTTGCATAATCATTACTTTCGATTATTATCTTCCACAAATCATCGGAACTGCACGAAGGTAAATCGAAAGTAATGAATTTTTCCATTTCAGCTGAAAGCTGTACATCGTTTGCGCAAGTAAAATTAACTATTGTACTTTCAAGACGTTCAAAGATCGTACATACAAGCTTTGGGAGCCTGGAAAAACTGGCACAAGTGTTGCAAATCATCTGATCGGGGAACCGTTTATTTAAATCGTCATATAATTGCTGCGCCAATTCTGCGAAAGGCTGGCCACTGGACGATGTATTGCTAGATCCTTCTACTATTGATTCTAATGTGGTGAACATAGACAGAACTATATTTTTATAAAAATTGCCTTGAATTCTTTTCATTA